GAGTTCTGAAGTTAAGTGTTTAAGAATTAGACTTGTAAGAATATCTTGACTTAGAACTTTGTAATTCTTCAATGCAGAAATCTGAATTTATCTTTTCAGACTTTTATACTTAGGGAATTTTGAAGCAATCTTCAACGACTTTAACTAGTTATAACCAAGGTTCTAAATACAACTCTTTATACATGAAGGTCTCGTAATGCAAAATTGAAAATCCCACCTGTAACCCAGATTCAATCTTTTTATTCTCACACTTTTTTCGAAAGTCGAGGGTCTTTGCCTTACCCCCTCCCCACTTCGACTCCACTACCGAGTGGGATATGCTGGGATAGTTTGGTGACTTCTGGACCATATGTCTCAATCACAACATTAAATGAATACCAGCATTTATTAATCCAAAAAGCAAGAAAATCAAATTACTGATGTTTATGGTAACTTGTACTTATAGAGACATAATTTGTACATTTTTTTAGTTTTGTCAAGTTATGTCCAAAGAAGGGTCTTTTATAATATATAGTCATTTTAAGTATTTTATGATATAGTATAGCTTCATACGTATTTATGATATTTTATAATATTATTATAATTCAAAAATAATCAATAATGAACTTATTTTATAGGTATTGACAAGAAAATTACAATGATATAGTCAAAGACCTTCCAGCCTAGTGGTAAAGGCTTGGGCATGACATAGTCATGAACCCAAGTTCGAGCCCTGGGAGGGAAGTGTTGGCGACATTTAAGTGGGGCCATGTTTAGCCTCCAAATTTGTCGGGGATTAGTCGGGCTTTGGCCCATACACCCTTACAAAAAAAAAATTACAATGATATAGTTTGTAAAAAAACATTTTTAATATATTTTAGTTAATATATGATTATGTAATTTAAATACAATAAAAGTGTAAAATGAAAAATGAAAACGTAAGAAATAAAAACAAATTAATTCGTATGTATTCATAATATTTAATAGTATGATTAAATCTAAAAATATTCAATGTTGAACTCATTTTGAATACATTGATGAGAAGATTATAATTGGCATAATTTCTAAAAAAAGAAACTTATTTTTTAATGTATTTTAGTTCATATAAGATTATTTATGTTGATATGATAAACGTGTAAAATGAAAACTAAAAACGTAAGAGATATAAATAAAATTAAATAATTAATTAAAAGGGTTTAAAGTGTAATTTAGAAATAAAAAATGATTTGACTAAAATTTGTACATTTAGTATAATTCATATGTATTCATAATATTTAATAGTATGATTAAATAAAAAAAATATTTAATACTAGACTCATTTTGAAGATATTGACAAGACGATTATAATGATATAATTTATAAAAATGGAAACATATTTTTAGTGCATTTTATTTCATATACGATTTTTTATGTTAATATGATCAGCATGTGAAATGAAAAATGAAAAAGTAAGAGATATAATGAAATGAAAAATGAAAAAGTAAGAGATATAAAGAAAATTAAATAACTAATTATAATTATAAGGATATAAAATATAATTAAAAAATAAAAAATGATTGGATTTCTAATACACGGGGGGAGATCGTGGAGGTTGTGGAGCTTTAAAGTTTGTACATTTAACATAATATGGTGTACCTCTTAAAATTTTCAAAATAACAATAACTCCTCTTTTTTAATACTAGAAGGGTACACGCGTAATGCAGCGAGATATATCTCAATTTTAATGTTTCATTTTATTCCGTCTTTGTAGATGTTATAATATGGTTTTTATGTGGTTTTGAGAAAAGAATAATGTTTTTATTTTTGAATAAAATATAAATTTGAAGATATCATAAAATTTTAAAAATAAATATATCAATATTAATATCAAATTAACTATTTAAAAGTTCTTGTTCTTTTGTGTAATTTATTTAATTAAAGTCATCTTTCCTTGATGCGGCAATAAATAGTCCTTACTTTCCTGAAAGCTTACTCGAGATTCTCAATCGCTTTTTTTAGTGGGGATGCTCCCTCCATTTTATTATAATTTAATTTAGATATAATAATGAAAAATAATATGATTTTTTATAAAAATAATATTTACATATTCTGTTAGAACTCAATGATTATTTTAATTATATTTTAGATTTTTTATATTCAAAATGAAATGTTTATCTTGTATTTGACTATGTTTATCTACAGTTAGTTACACGAATTTAAACATAAAGCTTTAATAAGTTGTACATTGTAATATTAAATTTTAAGTAATATGCATAAAAAACGGTTTTTAAGATTTTTTTTCAATATTGTATAGATAACCTTGAAGGGAACTTTAATCACATCTATAACTTTCTGATGATTGTGAAACGATTTTTTATTTAACAGGCTAGGACATCATAGATTTAATTAGAACCACCCCTAAACATTATTTAAGATGGGAAAATACTTGACCTAAATCTTTTCATATTTTACAGCTTTTAGCGTTTTACCCCTAAAATATGGTGTTGCACGGATTTTTTTTTTTTCACAACATATTTGTTTTGTGGTGTAGGTAAGCTTTCGAGAATCCATTAAATTGTGATAACTTTTAGAATTTGTATATTATGAGTTATTTTATATGATTTGTTTCCATTTAAGACTATGATTTAGAATACCGATTAACATATAATTCATTTTACATATGCTCGGTTCACATTTTGTGACGTGTTTGTGAGACACAAAATACACATAAAAAAATTTCACATTGTGAAATGAACACGTATAAAACAACACATTGTGAAACAAATATATGTTAATCGATACATTAAATAGTATGCCCAGATTGAAAAAGAAAATCATATGACATAACACAAGTTCTCAAGATTATCACAATAAATGGGTTCTCAAATGATTAAGCCACTTGTGGTATATATTTTTACCAACTGTTCTTTGTTTTTTTGGTATACCTAACTGTGTCAAGATCCAAATTTTAAGTTAGTTGGGTAGTTGACACATCTTTTGGCTTTACCTTTCTCATATAAATGCAAGTAGAGGTGGCCAAAATTCGGTCCCGGGCCGGGCCTTAACCGGTCCCTACCGGGCCTAATCGCGACAAAAACCGGCGGTAACCGGTCCCGACATAACCAGTCCCGGTCCCGGTCCCGGTGATTTTCCTTGTAACCGGTCAAGGTTATTAGTAACCGGTTGTCCCAACCGGTCCCGGTCCCGGTCCCATAACCGGTCCCGACCGGGCCTATTCAAAAAAAAAAAAATTGATTTTTTTTAAATTTTTGGTTATTAATAAATTTTTAATATGTTATTAATATGTTTGTAATATGATATTTTGAATATGTTTTATTATAAATACATTTTACTATAAATACGTTTTGTTATATATATATATATATATACACGTTTATAAATACGTTTTGTTGTAAATACGTTTAAAAATACACAATAAAAATACGGTTTATTATATATATACGTTTCGTTGACTTTCGTTGACCGGGCCGGGCCAGGCCGGGCCTATAACCGGTTACATAACCGGTCCCGGTCTTAACCGGTCCCGGTCCCAAAAAACGTCAAAAACCCTAACCGGTTCATAACCGGCGGTCCCTTAACCGGTCCCTACCGGTCCCGGTCGGTCCCGGTCCCTCTCCGGTCCCGGTCCCGGTCCTCCGTCGGTTACGGGCCGGGCCGGGCCCATTTGGCCATCTCTAAATGCAAGTAGTGAACCGAACGCAAAATGAGATTTTTCTGAAGGTTTGACAAGTCTAACGTAAAATGTTCCTGTTGTAATAGACATGGACACTCTGCTAATAACTCTAGCTACAAAGAAGATGATCAAAGGGCTCAATTTCTACAAAACCAAGAGAGCCATGCTCTCTTAATGGTTACAGAGCCAATGGAACACCAGACTACCACGTATGGTTTCTTGACACCGGCTGTACGAATCATATGTGTGGCAAAAGGGAGGATGAGGCAGTAAGAACCGAAGTGAATTCACAGACGACAACCCGACCTCAGTCATGGGAAAAGGGCAGATTCTTATCAAGTTAAAGAACGGAGATCAAAGTATATCACAGATGTTTTTTTTATGTATCGGGCATGAAAAGCAACCTGTTAAGTGTCGGCCAGCTGCTAGAAAAGGTGTAAGAAATGGGTATACAGAACAAGCAACTCTCCATCTTTGATAAATAGAATGTTCCAAGTTAACATTCCCCGTGATAGTTGTAAGTGTATAAATGCTGTTGCAAATGATATATTTTGCTGTTTTTCTCTTCATATCTACTGGTTTTTTCCTGTCCATTTTATCGTGTAATTTACATCAAACCATTAAATCATTTTGGTTACGTAATCATTCTGCAACAAATCATCCTGTGTCTACCGAACCATAAGTAACATATACATTTATTTGTTTGATATCAGAAATGGGAAGTGTAACTCACAATCTGCAATGTTTTGGGACCCTTATGGATCTGATCGTAGGGGGGACCCCTAGTCCTAATTTTCAGAGGAAAATCTGGACGGAACAGTATTATGTGTAGCCATTCGTTCAGAGACAGTATGATTAGAGTAAGTAACCACCATGTGATGTGCAGCATGTGCTTGTAGAAGTTTCAATATCTTATGCAATAAGAATGATCGTACCTAGGTATTTACATCAAGATTGCATATATAGATCTAGAGTCATATGTATTAACCACTTAAAACTGAACTATAATCACTTGATACACACCCATAACTGCTAATCACCTATTGTATTCACCAGATATCGAAAGAAGTGGTATAACAAAACCAAAACAGAAATGAAATTATCCTAAATGCAAGTATTCATCATATATAGATCCAGATTCATATGCATTATTAACCACTTAAAAATTGAACAATAATCACTGCATACTTATCATCATGATATACACCCCCATAACTACTAATCACCTATTGTATTCACAAGATATCAAAAGAAATGTAGTATAGCAAAACCAAGGCAGAAATGCAGGTATCCTAAATGCAGTATTCATCATATATATATATATATATATATATATATATATATATATATATATATAAATTTTAAGTGTATACCTTAATAAACAGGATCATTGGATCTCCTATACATGTTCTCGAATGGTCCTTCCCCCTTTGGTATAAGCTGCTCGACAACTTCATCTTTGTTGCATTTGTATGTGGCACGGCATGCTTATAGGTTACTTACATGTACAGATGTTCTGTATATTCTTGGCAGAGAAATCATGAAGTGGTTACTTCCAGAAAGTACTTTTCTTGATTTACATGACATGATCACCATCACGGTCACCTGCATTGCTACTTTTTGCGATTAAGGTTGGTGGGTGTCCCTTCATATTTTTTGATATCTAGAAAAGAAATTTGTATGATTGTATTTCTTTGAAGTCTGTTTTCGGGAAGTCCCATAAAAATTGCAAGGTTTGACTAGGCATGAAGTCTAGCAAAACTGTAAAATAATGATAAACAAGAAAACCATGTGGACGAGAAGAAACTACAGATAAATAAGTAATTTTAGCTCAGAATTGGTCAGAATGAACATAATTTCTTTCAAAAATGTGCAGTTATAAAATCCTTGAAAAAAGAAATTTTCGGGATTTTTATCCAAAGGTCAATTCAAAATTGAGCGCTCGATCGGTGAGGGAACGAGATCATAAAGAGATTTTCATCTTTTTCGATAAGATCTCTAATACTATCCTAGAAAATTTACAAATTTTCAAACCAGATGATGTTGCATTTTTATGTTAGAGGGAAGGTTTATCAAGTAAATGATAGTTATGTCCACGGAAATGAATGAGGGTGCAGTGAAATGAAATACCTTTTGCGTTTGCTCTTCAAGACTGTGGAAGAAGAAGGATTACTGTGCCAGTTGCGCTTCCTCTGATTGATAAACCAATTGTTTATCTGCTTCAATTGTAGGCCTGTTTCCTGAACCAACCGTGCCTTGTCTTCTTCCTACACGATAAAGAGATATAAAAACTTAAAACAAAAATAAAGTTCAGTATATGTCTAACTTTAGGTAATGCATCAATATTTTAATCGGGTTGGTAAATCACTATATTAGTAGAACACCTTCATGCGTGTAGCACATATCTTAAGGTACTTGTAATGAAGCATAATGATAGGAATCACAATCACCGTCAGTTTATTTTATGATTTTATCAGGTTGTGTTGTCATAGTTTCATTCATTTTTATCCCACTTCAGTTGGGAAAACTTCAAATTTTGTGTTGTACTGGTAGCTGTGGGTTGGTGTGGCTAGGCTTTATAAGTTCAGCTAGGGCTTGCAGCCTTGCACAGTGAATTCGGTTTTATTGCATCACATTTATGTATCTTTTGTTCCAATTGTAGTCAGGGTGTTCAATAGTATTAGTTGTTAGTTGGTTCTCAAAGGGTTGTTTTTTCTGGTTCAGTTTGATGGTTGGTGTACATGGGTGGGCCATATTGTTTCAATATGATATGTGTTCTTTTCCCTTTTGATAGATTTCGACTGTTTCAGAACGAATTCAGCTTCACAGATCGTTTCCAGCTATATTTTATTCTTGACGGGATAGCATATACTCTTATCATGTTCAATATGCATCTCCTGAAGCATATTAAGCAGCAGTAAATATGTGCACATGAACACATGATAAAGTTTTCTGTTATCATGTTTAATATGCATCAGCTGAAGCATATCAAGCAGCAGTAAATACGTGCACAAGAGAATGTTCTCTTTTCTTGTTCAAAGGGAACTTAAAGAGTTGTCAGCAGCAAACTTACTGTAGGGTATGGCCATTTGGCATGTGATTGCCACCAAGCTTTTAGAACAGATGTGGTATCACCAGGCAGTTTCCCTGCCCTCCTCTTGCGTAGTATCTCCTCTCTTATGTCCACAATCTTCTCCTTATAACCCTATGATAGAAGAAAATAACAAAAAAACAATGAATAAAGGATTCAAGTATTTAATATAATGAATTGATGCTAAGAACATACAATACACAGTCAAAATGTTGCAGGGATATGGGGACATAGATATGGGTGAATGATAAGGTGTGTTGTATGTATATGTGTAAACATAGACAAATTTAGAACCAACCCCGTTAAAGAACAAAATTATATCAGAATTCATGCATAAATACATAACTGAAGACATATATATGTATAAGCTTCATAAATGCTTTTACTTCTACAGTTTTAACTGGTCTACCCACATCATAGGCAAAAGCTGAAGTTTTACTTCAGAAAACTTTTAACCTTACTTTCTAAATTCATAATGTGTGAATATTCATTTCCTAACAGATGATCCTAATTTCCAGTTCCAAATTCACAATCCTGCATCTCTTTGTTTTCATGGCCAATCTCACATATCTAAAGCACTCAATAAGAGGATTCGGCAAGGGATAAAAGCAAGCTCCCATGCCTGTTAGATCAAAAGGGCTCAAAGTCTCACCTGCTTCAGCTCGTGCTTTAGCTCTTGCCTTACACGCTCCATCAATGACCTCTCACTCTCCGTTGGGACAAGAGGACCGAAACCCATGCTGTCATGTCCATCCAGACTTCCATCATACAAATTGGCATCACTATCTACCTGATCTTCATCATCATCAGACATTGTTGCACCTGTGCCTTCTCCAGGTGACACTCCTGTTCTCAGCAAAAAGAATAAACGTTAGGTTTAATCTGATAAGAGTCTTGTACAAAGGTCGACCGACTTAGAATTCATATTTGGTTGGTGGTGTATCTCCTCCCTCTCCTCAGGAAAAATATAAACAGAATAACATGAAGTAACCAGGTCTAAATAAAGTCTCTAATTGATAGAAAATAAGATATCCAAAACAAAAACAAGTTATGTTCAGCAATTAGAATCTATCACATTAGAATTTCTTGTGCTGTGAAGTATTCGCCATGAAGTTTGATAGCTTGAACTTTAATAATTTATGCTTCTATAACAATTTCTATGTAACACATCAATCCCCAACCACAGAACTTCATCATGTAGATGTTAAAGAAATTCATACTCCATGCTTCTAGAAAAAGAATAATAATATTTCAAAAACAGTGACCTTTATAGAGAAAAAAGAAGAGCTCAATTTACAAACTCCACTTTACAACTTAGGAGCTTAGAGTCAATGCTCTTGAACATTTACCTTGTACTAAATACAAAATAACAAAATGATACTTGTTTAATCTAATGAAGTAGTGTTTATTTATGATCATCAAACTTTCTTTTTATTCGGACACAGATAAACTGTGAAGTAGATTCTTTTGAAATGGACGGAGTATAAAAGTTGACAGATGTAAGATTTAGATAGTAATGATCGAAAATTCTAGTGATTGGGCCAATATAATTGTAGAAGTTGTGCAATTCTATGGCGGTTCAAGAGAATACATCTTTAACTCTGAAAAAGATATAAAAAATGTCTCCTTGAGAAACTTTTCCATGACCATGTAGATGGCGTGTGACATTGAGATGATATTACAATAGTCGTTATACGACGGGTTTAGCTCTCCAAATTGTAGGTGCGATGGCTGGCTTTTTGTGAAATTGGTTTGATTTATTGACGTATTTTAGCAAGTAATGTGCAGGCATACAAGGAGTCAAGAATAGAAGAAAACAATCAAATTAGTATCCGTCTTGACATCCTGAAGCAAAGAAGTCGCACGAAAAGTGGCTATCAAACATTAGACGGGTTTTAAGTGAGATATTTGGGTTTGGAAGTTGGTACTACGTTTCTACTCAAGAAATTAGATCAACGGGTGCCAGGAGGTGAAGTTGAGGGCATTTAAGAGACCAAGCATGTATTGTGAAGAAGAAAGATTGATTGAAAGCTTGAAGGTGGTGGTTGGGAAGCATTACAAAATGAAGAGCTTTCGAACTTCCTATATTTTGTGTTAAAAACCATGTATGGGATGATTTATTCCTATGTATATATGATGTTATTTCTTGTTACGCACATGAGCTACACACTTGAATGTTGGGTGAATGATGGATTATGGAATGAAGTTATGAATATACGATCTTACCTCTTTGTTAGGTCAAAACTTGTTAGCTGAGTTTTCATATCTTGTGCTTGATACTTTGCTTTGTTGGCCATATTACAATGTTCATTTGGTTGTGATTTTGTTTGATAAAAATTATTACAACTAGATTTTAACATATATTAAGATATTTGATAGAAATACCTAGTAAATCCTAGTTGTGTTAAACATTCTTATGCTTAATGAGTTTCTTGTTTGTGTATGATAGTCTTAAGATTCAACGTGTATCTAAACAAAAATTCTTGCTATTGCTTGAGAAAGTGTAGTAAGGGAGTCCGGGTTTATTTCTTTCAATTAATATCTTTTTACTAATAAAATCGAGGAAAATTATGTTCATAACGGAATCCAAATGAAATCCGACTCCTATCCTTCCAACTTGATCTTAGATTTGTGCTCTGTACTCATCCCTGGTCATCCACTTGTCCACCTTCTTGTCAATTAATCAAGATAATCCAAATCTAATCATCCTTTTATCTAGTTAGAAGTTGCTAATTTGCATATCCTACATTGGTAATTAATCACATAGTTCCCTAGGATATAATACTCATGTTTACCACGTATTACTTGCTTGACACCATGCAGTTGCGATTAGAATTAGGTTGTCTTAGACATCTATCATATGACATAAGAAGTCTACAAAACAACACCTATATGCAGTATTTTGTTGGTGATTTTAGTGAATTTTCACGCTATTTTGTGTAATTGGATTCACAGGAGAATGAAGTGGTTGATAGTTAAGCTACAATACGGGTTAGGAGGTGGGGATGGTACATTCATATAAGCTTGCTAGAACCTGGGATCACCGAATGGCGCCATATGGCGCGGGGTCAAGGGGTAGCGCCTACCCCCTAGCAGGGCCGAGGGACCGCCCTCACAAAGCTCAGGGAAGCGCCCTGAAACATTTACGAAGTTTAAGACAGCAGACACTAACAATTTTAAGTGGCAAGTGGTATTCAGTGGTTGCATCAATAGCAAAGTTACTGACTGATGGCTTATCCACTGATGGAACCTGTTCGTAACAACTCTTTAAAGCTATGTAACCCCCCAATAATTGCTATTAGTTTCCAGTAATCATTTCTCTTTAATGGGGCATTCATTCTCGATTTTTGATGTACGAACCATTCCTATTTTTCTAGGTTTATAGCTTACGATTTCTGCCAAAAAATCGTGACTGTGAATTGAGATTATCCTTGAGCAAATTTCATGATAGGGTCAAAATATTGCTGAAGGAAAGCGGACTCTTATGCCATCTCACGTTCTTATCCGATATTTTCTTTGATTTCTCACCCGACCCGATTTCCCCCAACATATTTCATGTCAAGAGTGATGGTTGGAAAGAGAAAGAGCAAGTATGATCCATCGTTGATATCAAAGGAAGGGACTTGGGGTATTTACTCCATGTTCAGAAATGACTTCCTTTTTGTGGTAAATTGAAAGAAATATTACCATTTAGAAGAAAAAATTTTCTGTCCAAGCATGTAATATGATCAGATAATTTGGCCAAGAAGAATAAAACCTTATACATCACCTGTTAAGCTTTGTAGGGACTGCTCAATCTCCCAGCAGGCCATAACTGCTTCCATTGCATGCACTCGAACATGTTGTTGTAACTGGTCTTTGAAAGAACAAAGCAACAGAACATAATGTGTCTGCATTGTAACATATAGACATGGTCAGTATAAGAGTACATAATATCATTGTTACACGAAGAGAAGTGACATGTTCATCAAGTTTAGTTTCCAGACATAGATCAAGTATAGCACTATCTTTATCAAATAGTTCTTATAAAATACTTCTTATCAAATACTTCTATCACACAAACTATTTACTGAACATATACAATGATATAACCTGCATGGACAATTTCTTGTTATGTTGTTGATGTGCATAGAAACATGAAAGGGATATAGAAACTTTTTTTTATCAAAGTTCATTGATCTCTGCAAATTGAAATAGGAAGGAGAGAAGAAAGATTTGGATCATCCCAATGTAAACAACTTTTCGTGATGTCAATATGGATAAAAGGTAATAGTAATTCATAAATTCTCAAATATGGAAAGGTTGCAATCATTCATGAGACATCACAAGTCGGGATCTCCAAGGAAATAGTCGCTCTCCTCTGAGGATTGGTCTTCGTACATCACACAGGATTGGTCTTCGTACATCACACTCCCCACGCTACTCTCGAGTAATATATACTAGGTCAGGTTAGTCTACTTTAGTTTATCACAAAATGGAAGTTGTTCAAGTTTCAAGGATGGAGGTACATTGCAACCCATTTATGTACGAATTGGTCAATTGTGGAATATTTTGATTTAAATAATTTAGCTAAAAAGGAAACAATTCGAATGGGTTTGAAAGTCGTCTAAGTATATTTGCATATTTACAACCTCTTAAATTACTTTGATAAAAAAAATTGGACCATTACTTTAAATTACTAATAACAGCTTTTTAATCATATTTCAAATATATTAATTATTTATGAAATTCCAAACAAAATGGACAAAAAAGAGTGTTGGCAGGTTGACCCAACCCGCTCTGGCCTGCCCTGAAATTTACTCATTTTGACATGTTACTCCAACCCATTTGACCCGTCCATTTTTCCACCTATGAATCATGTCTAAAAACACCAGAGACTTTTGTCTGAGACTTGAGTATATACAAAAAAACCCACAAAGTTGTCTTAGTAATTTATATATTTTTGTAAGATGATCCCAACATGGGTCACAGAATTACGGGAAAGTTTCTTTTTCAAATTAAGGGAGCAACATCGAAGACGATCCAAATTCATCTATCTCTATGTGCTCACATGTTAAACTTCTCCCATTAATAAGCCATATACTAAGGAAACCTGCATAATGCTATAGAAGACAAAATGAAGTAATCTTCAGCCTAACATATATTTATAAGTCATGTTGTATTGGTTGTGGGACTGGAAAGACTTTGAATTCCTCGTGTAACTTCAAAGCGCATTGCCTCCTAATCGGTAAGAACTCGGATCTATGAGAGAAATGACTCGAACAAACATCTTTTTAATTATGACCTGCTAGTGGGATAAAACGAAAATGGCAGGATAATTTGTGATTTTGGTTTTCACATAATCTACCAGAAATGGTATTAAGAAGTAGACAAATTTCCAGACAAATGCGCAACAATCGGAGAGACAAAAACATGAGATATGCTTTATAACGATGCAATGCCTAGTGAAACTGGCATTAGGTCCCAAAATCATGTCTTTGCTTATTGGCATCTACCAAGTACCAAGGGAATCCCAGCCCAAGGAGGATCCATCTAACCCGAGGACAGCCAGAGAAAGGATCTTTGGGAGAACTTGGAGGCTTGGAGCCCATGTCACATTTCAGCAACCTACAAATACCTAAAGAGGAACTGCTCATGAATGTGTTTGATCATTTTTAACACTTTTCTACTCTCATTTATTTTCCCTCACAAAATTGGTAGAATGGCCGAGGAGGATCCAGTGGTCAACTGCCCTTGTGCATCCACTGTTTTACAGGTCAAGCGGGAGTGTGGTATTGGCTTCATCATACTTCATGATATCTCAGGTTAATTTGGACTTTGCAGAACTTTCAATGGAAGTTAGTCATCAAATTTTCTTATTCAATGACACCACCTTTCTTTTTCATTGTTTCCACCTTCCATTTCTTTCAAATTGGGTACAAGCACTTATAATTCTCAAGATCTAAATGATCTTCTATAAAATGTAAAATAATGTAATATCTACGAACAGCACAACTTATAGATGGCTTCATTGACAAGTATTGAGAGACAAGTTAGACCTTTCTTGATGCGTACTCCCTCCATCCCCACTAAACACACAAGTGTAGATGCTTATTGGTTCATCTACATGTCATTTTTCCCAGAAAATATCATAGAAACGTTTTTAATATTAAACCATGTATTTGAAAAAACAAATTAGCAAAAAAGAGGGAAAAGGAAGTTCAGATAAATGCTCCAGGAATTCCTAAACATACATGTCAAGCATTGTTGTTACCATCAACAAGGGGCTGTGGCCTCATGCTTAGTAATTTTTCTGAACATCATGATGACGATTAGGATGACATCAATTAGTTACTGATATTTTTATTTTAGCTTTTTAATTCAAATTTCTATTGTAAATACCATGTTCACATAATTATATGGGGGTCAAACTTTTTTCTCAAACTTTGTGAATTACATGTGGTCGAAGATCAAAACCTAAGATGACTTTAATTCTAGAAATGATAAGATTATTTTTGGTTCAGATGCACCGACAGGTTAATAATCCATAGAATAAGGGTAGTCTGATCTCCATAGCTGAAACCGATAAACCCATAGCAACTACAGATTAAGATGCATTAAACACAAGTTACTATTGCACCAAACGGATTTATCAAATTTAACGATCACAACAGATAATAGCTAGGGATTTTAGAGGAAATTAACGTACCATGAATTGATCAAGCTCCTTATCATCATGAACAAGATTATTATGCCCTCCAAGAGCAGAATACTTTGAAACCACCTGCTGCGACTGCGCAAGCTGTGCATCAATTCTGGGCAGCTGATCCACCGGCGTGGCGATGCGTAAACAAGCCACATGAGCAGCTAACAACTGCTCGTACAATGGATGCGACAATACCTCTGCTTTTTGCCTCGCATTTTGCCAGTTCATCAAGGCTCCACCACCGCCGTCGCCGGCACCTACCTCAGTCTCTCCCAGCTCTCCTCCGACATTATTATCTACCTGTGATCGTTTCATTATTATGAGAATCGTAACCGACGGATTTGATTTTAGAGGAAGAAAACTTTCCGTGGTTGCTTGCTTGTGTTTGTCATCAGTATACAATTTATGAAGCGTCAGGTACAACTATTAATGCACAAACCACGAAATTACTACTACACTTGTTTAAAAAGGGTGGGAGAAAGAAAAAACGTATCCGTAAACAAAAGGGTAAAAGCGTAAAAGCTTACTAGCAGTTGGCTTCGCTACTGCATTTTTATACATCCACAAAATATTTAATTATTAATTTAAATTTAAAAATAATGATTAGCAATAAGCAAAAGAAATTCTATTGAAATTGAAGATTTAACCAAATAAAATCACAAAATAATTTGATATTTTATTAAATTTGATATATAATTTTTATTTTACTTTTTAATTTTACCAATTTTTAGGTTTGCTATTTATCACTCAATGAGTTTAGTAAACTATATACAAAATCAAATGTTATCTTCTTTAATATTTTTAATCAATCATAGAAGAATAATCGTGTGAGAAGAAGAGTTAAGATGAGAAACGTGAAAAGAAATCTAGACCCTTGATCACCTTTAATCTCAAACTCACTCATGAATCAGTTTGATACGAGGTTTTAATCTAGTGCATCTCATCCTAATATACATTAAAATGTGGAGATCTCTTCTTATATTTCTCACATTAATTATAGTTCGCATCAGAACCTAACTCTATATATGTAATTGGATTTTTAAGATACTTTATATGTTAGAAAAGTAGAATTTTTTTGAAAACAAAATCTAAGTATTCGGTTATGTGTTATGAAGTGATACCATTAGATAAGTTACGTTGCATTAATATCATCTAATCGATTGGTAAATTGTTTCAAAATGATTGATTAGACCATTCAAAAATATGTATAATGAGACCGGAAAAAAGAAATTAGAAAGACTAAGTTACGATTATCCGAATCGATTTAACTAATTAGGTTTTTTTTTTTCATAAGACATGATATTTATCCATTACTTTTCAAAATCTTCACAATTTTTTGGATTTTTTGACAAATTATATGTTTTTAAGGCTATCCAAAACCTTTTTAAAGTGGGTTTTAGGATAGAGATAAGATATGTATATATAGTACTCAAAACCTTTTTCATGTGGGTTTTAGGATAGAGAAAAGGTATGTGTTATAACGGATCACACATCTTTCGGGAATAAATTGCAACTATCTTCACAATAATTTGAATTTAGTCAAAGTCTGTTGTAATCTATATTTGGTATCCCTTGTATTTCTCCTGAACTCTAGCTTTGGTATCCCTTATATTTCTCCTAAACTCTAGCCTCTCTTTTGTGTATTTATACGGTTATTATGAATACAGTATTCATTCAAGCCAAATCAATATTCATTTACTATATGGTATCAGAGCATCACAAGCTCTAAAGAGTTCCATCGATCCTCTCCCTCTCTCAATCTCCCTCGTCATCTCCATGGTATAAATCACAACCCTAATTCAACTCACCGTCTCAACCTATTTCCCTATCAAACTAACCACCACAAACTTTCTTGTATGGCGGCGACAGGTGCAGTCCACACTTGTTGGATTAGGCCTGGACGATTTTATCACTGGGAAGAGTGATTCTCCACCAAAAACTATCACCGACAAAGAAACTGTCAAGACCAATTCCGATTACACTGCTCGGTATCGCCAAGACCAAGTAATATTCAATGTTATCCTTGGATCATGCTCAGACGCAATCCAACCTGTCATTGCCTCTGCCTCTACTGCAAAAGAAACCTGGGAGCGTCTCAAAATGAGCTATGCCAGCAACTCTCGTTCAAGGATCATCTCCTTGAAGTCCAAACTTGCAAAAAATCCCAAAGGAAATTGACTCATCACCGAATTCCTAAATGAGATGTGCTCCATTCCAGATGAGTTGGCACTCGTCCAAAGCCCGGTTCATGAAGAGGACCTACTGGTACACATCCTAAGTCAACTTGGTGATGAATACACCTCAATAACTGCTGCAATAAAAGTTCGTGAAAACCCGATCTCTTATCCGAAAATTTTCGATAAACTTGTTGACTTCGAACGATCTTTGAAAGAGGCGGAGTCTACTGCAGCACCAATGGTTGTTACAGCAAACTACTCTCAGTGATAATCAAACCGTACCCAGAATCACTCCTCCTCAGACTACTCGAGCCACAACAGTCGTTCTCTTTCTAGGTAAAATAATAGAGGAAATCGACCCTCCTTTGCCTAACAAAACCCTTAGGGGAAGACCAATAGGTCCCATTTGTTTTGCCAATACTGCAACATACCAGGTCATGAAACACGTGAGTGTCGGAAGCTTGCCAAATTCTTAAGAGACAACAACATCTCGGTTTCCACCAGTCCCGTCGCAAATGCCACATCTTCAGGGGCTAAAACGAGCCCCAATCACAAGTCATGGCTTGCGAATATCGGTGCATCACACCATCTCACATCTGATTAGTTAACGCTCTACTCCGTTTCTAAATATGGGGGACCAGATGAAATCCTTCTAGGCGATGGTACAAACCTCTCTATCTCTCATACTGTTCACACTCATATACATACTTCGTCCGTTCACTCGCCTTACCTAATACTCTTTATGTCCTTAAACTTAAAAAAAAATCTCTTATCTGTTGCCAAACTTTGTCGCACTAATCGTGTTTCTGTGGAATTCTTTCTTCCTTATTTTCTTGTGAAGGATCTACAAACGGGGGGCGCCTCTTACACGAGGGGAGAACATCAATGATGTTTACTATCTAAACCCTTCAACACCACAACTCAACATTGCCACCATGACTTCACCTCTCAATTGGCATCACAAACTCGGACATCTCTCGGCTCGTATCTTCAAGCAACTTTGTCAAAAATTAGGACTTAAGTTTAACTCATTGTCTAGTTCTAATTTTCATTGTCAATCGTGTGCTATCAATAAAAGTCATAAGTTGCCTTTTGGACAAAACTCTTTTATCGTAACCAAGCCGTTGTAACTCATTTACTCTGATGTATGGGGACCTATTCAAAAATTCTTTGATGGTTACTCATATTATGTAGTGTTTGTTGACTATTACTCGAACCATGTTTGGCTCTTTCCGATAAAACACAAGTCCGACGTTTCCAAGATCTTTCCACAATTTAAACTCCTTGTGGAAAAATTCTTCCAAACACCTACCATATCCATCATCAGTGATAACGGCGGTGAATATCAAGGACTTACCTCATTCCTTCAATCCATGGGCATTTCCCACTATACTACCCCTCCACACACACCCAAACAAAATGAGATTGCTGAATGACGGCATCGACATATTGTTGAGACCGGTCTTGCCCTCCTACATTATGCGGGTCTTCCACTCACCTTTTGGTCTCATGCCTTCCAAACCGCCGTTCATCTCATCAACCGGTTACCCACGCCTATCCTTGACTCCAAAACTCCTTCCACACTCTTTACGGTACAAATCCCAACTATTCCAAACTCAAAACCTTTGGGTGTCTTGGCTACCCATGGCTTCGCCCATATTCCACCTCTAAACTTGACCCTCGCTCCCAATCATGTCTCTTCCTGGGTTACTCAGTTGTGAAATCCGCTTACAAATGTATCCACCTATCCACCCAACGCCTTTTGCCACTCCCTTCACGTAGTATTTGTTGAAGATCAATTTCCATTCAAAACCTCCACTCAACCTCTTTCAAATCTGCCTACTGCGACTGATTTTTGGCAAATGCCCAAACCTAGTTTTCAACATCTGTCACCTTCCCTTCCACCCACCCATGAGTCATCTACAAACTCCATGCAAAATTCACCTACCACACACCAATCCCAACCTCAACTAACCCAACCCACACTTACTTCCACCTCACCTATTCCTACTACTCATGATACCTCATCTGTTGAGCACCCAACTCATTCCTTTGATACTCCCTCTCTAACCACCACCTCACCATCACCCTCCCTCTCTATCACTACAACTACACCACCACATTCTCCACAAATTACACCTTCCTCTCCCCCTCCTGCCATCTCTGCTTCCATTCCACCGTTGCCATCGCGCCAACGAAAAGCACAACCCCAAATACTACAATTCCACCTATGTCAACCACACAACCCTTCACCCACTTCCTACCCCTGGAACCCATTACTCATAATCAAGCTTCCAAAGATCCGTTTTGGCGTCAAGCAATTAATGATGGATACAATGCGTTGATTCAAAATCATACGTGGGAACTTGTTCCATCCAACAACCATACTTTGATTGGTTGTAAGTGGGTTATCCGTATCAAACGCAACCCGAACGGTTCGATCGCAAAGTACAAAGTCCATCTCGTGGCAAAAGGCTTTCTACAACAATATGACAGATTATTTTGACACATACAGTCCCGTCACCAAACCGGTCACAATCCGAATCATTCTTTCCATTGCCTTATCTCGAGAACGGCCACTCCGTCAACTTGACATTAACAATGCCTTCTTGCATGGCACTCTACAGGAACAGGTTTACATGATTCAACCCTCGGGCTACATGAATCCTCAATTCCCGAATCATATTTGTCGACTAAAAAAATCCTTATACGGACTCAAGCAAGCATCGCGTGCTTGGTATTTGGCATTAACGTCATTTCTGCTTGAATTCGGGTTTTGCAAGTTGTTAACCGATGCTTCTCTTTTCATTTACAATCATGAAGGGGTTACTTGCTATTTCTTGGTTTGAGTCGATGACATTGTCTTAACCGGCAACAATCCCGATTTTATCAACAAGTTTGTGACCACTGGATGTAAATGGATGAAATTCAATTGCTTCACTTATGCCTAACAATGATGAATTCATCAATTTGTGGAATTCAAAGGAATTTAAAGGATTCCATACATTTCCATATGTGAACCAAACGAAGGAATTGAAATTTGGTCAAAATAATTGATCATTCCCTATTTTTGGAATTCCTATGAATTCTCCGAACCAAACAACACCTTAAAGATCTTTCCAA